ATTAAATTCTTTGATAAGCAGAAGCAAAGGGAATTTCTGTTAGATTTGGGCACTGAGAGTGCTAATGCCAAAATTAATGTTGTTGAATTAGCTTCTTAGGAGAACAGAGGATTGAACACATGGGCAGAAAAAAAAGCTCACATATGTAGACACCGCTGATTTGGGGGCTGCACAGCAAAGGCAACAAGAAAAGACAAAAAACTGTGATATTATCTTGACTTAAGGGCATGACTACAGCAGTGGAGCTCATGTTAAGGAGAGGCAGCCTAATTACCACTGACACATATAGTATAGTGGGGTCAGGAGCCTGGCCAACTGCAACAACATTGCTTTAATATATTCAACATGCCCACACTTGAGACATCAGCTACAGTATATTACTTTTTCCTCACTTCCTCCTCATTGCAAAGTGTACACTGCACTTCTCAATAATCAGACAAACCTCAGTCCCCGTCTGAACAGAGAAAAACTGAGCAGAAATCAATCCCAAGTGAGATTTTTATTCATTTCTCTGCATTGCTTCACCCACTGTCCATTGCATCACTTCCCCTCTCAGTGTGTAGAAATGCCCACTGGTGTATTTGCCATGTGTGCATGCCTGAGTGGATGTAGTACATCCACTGCGCACATGCCTGGCAGTTATGATGTCCCTGAGGTCTATGACAGCTTAACTAATATTTGTATTATTTGAATAATAAAAGAAACATTACTCTGCACCGTGCAGGCACAACAGCCTCTTCCCACTCTCCCATTTCTCTCTTGCTGACATACACAGACATGCCTACTTGTGTGGAAGCAGCCCAGGGCCATGTACACTAACAAGCAGCCATGTTTCCCTCACAAGAGGCCGCAGCCAGCCTGTCGTCGTCAGCATGGCTTTCACCCACTGCTCAGCCTCACTCTCACACATACAGGCACACTGCGTACTGTGACATCATGCCGCGCATTTAGACCAGAGGGTCAGAGGGTAACGCAGCTTTATATGCTGAGGCTTCATTGTCGTCATGCTTGGTGACTGCAGCGGCCCTTATTCAGCGCTCAAATACACACACACACACACTAAGACCTTAAACGTGAAAGACATCCAGCTTTACAACCTCTATCCCCCATTACAGCTGACATGCAGGTCAGCACATACAGAGGTGAGGTTGTTTCCACTCAGGTAATTACAGGTAGGATTTGCCCTGCTCGCTACATTTTTGGCTCAGACCTCTACAGGCAGAGTCAACAATCTTTCAGTGAGTAAAAACCGACTACTTCCCACCCACCTTTCAACCTACAACGTCAACTTTCTCTCTATTAGACATTTAGATCCTCCCTTCTGGCACGCTGCCACTTAAAAGCTTTTCAAGTGAAGGGCTATGTGTCTGTATCCATCATCTTCATATTTACTTACTTTCATGATGATATCCTAGGGCATGAAAGTATAAGGGGGTCCCCAGCAGGCATGTAACACAAAGAAATGTTATACTACACCATATAAATACTTAATGCAATATTAACATAAGGACCGTTTCGAGACAAAGTCTTAAAATCTACTGTGCTGACCGTATCCTTGTGTTATTATATTGCTTTTGAATCTGCAAATCTGCAAAAAAATCAACGCACTGAATGGGAAACACAACCCCGGACGACCCCACAGGGCCCTGTGGGGAGCTGGCTTTAGTCAGAGGGGGGTCCAAATTCAAAAGCCCTCACAAAGCTGCCTATTACAGAGATGTCCAATTTTTAAATAGTCCCACCAAGTAACACATTGTGCGAACAAAAATACAACTCTGGCATCCTTGATAAAAGATGCCAGCGAGACCCCACGCAGCCCCCTAAAGCCGGACAGCCGGACAGCCGGACAGGCTCCTCACCTGGGGCAGCGCGGCGTTGATCTGCCGCTGGAGCACGTCCCTCTCGTGCAGCGCCCCCTGCAGCTTGGTTTGAGACTGAATCAGGGTCTCCTGGGTCTCCCTGAGGGACTCCAGCAGCTTGTCTCTCTCGTCCAGCATGTTGACCATCAGCTGCTCAAAGTTGGCCTCCTGGTCCGAGCCGTTGGGGACCCCGCCGGTGCTCCGCGGGGGGCCACCCGACTCTCCTTCACTGATGGTCGGCATCACCTCGCACATCATCTTTCCTGCTCTGTGCTCTGGCCAACGCTATGGGACACTGTCGCTGTCGGGATGGAGAAAAAGGCAATGTGCGGTTATAAGCTTAAAAAGCACACTTAGAAATCAGCGAGAAGGCCCCTTTTTTTTTTAACGCCGCGCAGCAAGGGACCGCCGAACCAATCGCAGATGCGTATCTTATTCCCACCGGGCTACATTATGTGTCTCGTGCATCAAATGTGCGTTCCTAAGCTCCCCGTCGCCGTACCTTATCAAAAGGATGGATGCGATGAGATGATGGTTGACCCTTCATCCATACCAACCGGCGTTTTTTCACCCCGTGAGCAGATCCGCCCTTGCCGGCGCGCCATGCACTCACATGTAGAAATCCCGGCGTGATATGATTGACAGCTCAGAGAGAGACGGGTGCGTTTGAAGGGGTGGTGCCCGGGAGCACGGCGGAGATCATAGTAGCCTTCACAGAAAGCACCGCGAATAATGCAACAGAAAAAGAAGCAGAGGGGAAGTATCCGAGAGGAGGTCGACGTCCTTATTCCAGCGGTTGTTGAGAGCGTGTCTTCTCTGCATCCATCCCTCCACGCAGCCACCGGACTGACGCTCTCTGCTCCTCCTCCTACACACACAGAGACGCTGCCACACACACACCCTCACACACATCTACGCCAATGCACACACAGGCGCGCGTGTAGGATCTGCAGTTGTCACTACACTAGGTCTGTAAATATTAAGGAGCCAACTCCCCCCAATAAAAGCCAGCAAAGATGCGAACCGGAAAGGGTCAATCATGCCACAACTCATGTCTGGAGACCGGCCGAGAGACTTAGTTACTAAATATTGAAATGTATCTAATCAGCTGCAGTTATGAGCAGGGCTGACATGTCCCTGACCTGACGGCAGCATCGACATGCGTGGCATCAGTCTGACCAAGCCTTGGAAGTGGACAGCAGGGGGCTGTGCTTAGAAAATGCAGCGCACCCTGCAGGATCACAAAAAGAATTTAGAGGCAGCAGCACAGCAATAAAAGTGTGTTTGGATGCGAATTTAGGGCCATGGCACTGCTGTCACTGTGTTGACACATTGTTTTGGTTATGTATTATCCTAAATAATAGAACCACGTCACCCCTCATAACTGTATTGTGCACTGATCCATTCCTGCTGGCTTTTCTATTTTGTGGCCTTTCTGCATAGTCATTCTGTTACACAGCCCAAAGACACAATTATTTGCACTTCCAAAGGGTGCACACACACACACACACACACACCTGTTGGGTATTCAAAGAAAATAACAAATCAGACATTTTAATATAGTCGGCTCCACTATATGTCAAACACAATGACTTTTTAAATAGGTTTGATCATATGATTCTGTACTGAAGCCAGATGTTCCTTCAAAGTGAGTCATTTTTCTTATGCATTTTCTTATGCATTTCAAAAAGTGTTTAGTATTGGATACAAAAATGTATATGCCAGGTTAAATTATTAATAAAAAATGCACCTCTTCCGTACATTCAGCATTGACTTTCTAAGACAGGAAGTTGAGAATGTCCTCAGTACTACTTTAATGGAACCAAGTAGTTGGCTACTCTTTACATTTGCATTTGTCCTGGCAGAAGCATACGTTTTGTTCTTGGCATAAACTAACTTCAGCTGAAAAGTGAACAGGCTGCAAGTCCTTTATCACTTTTATGCTAAATGTTATTTGCAGGTTTCAGTGATCAAAGTGATATGATGGTTCTTTGTCGCCCCCTAAAGGTGGAACTTGCAAATTGAGGTTTGAAAACAAATCTATCATTGATAATCATTGCTCTGAAAAATATGGGAAGAAAAGCTTTTAAATCTTTTATCATGTTCAATTTTCCAGTTGTTTTTTTCAAATAATTCACAGCACATAGAAATTAAACCTAATTAGATATGGCAAATTATAGGCTGTGAGCGTACAGTTCCCTTTATCTGCAAACATCATCAGGCATAATGCCATATGGAATATTGATGTTAAAAGGACATTCTTTGTATGCTAAATTGCAACTTGATTGCTTTAAGATTTATTTATCTGAAACATTAAACATGTTTTTACAAATGTTTAAAAGGTTTTGTTATTTTCTTATAAGCCCCACTTTGCAGTGTATTGATCCTCACCCTCACGAATGACTGAAAAGTATCAATTCAATGTGTATAGATCAATTGATTCTAATCTCATCCTCTTGGACCACTGCTCATCCATGTCTGCTCACCTGCCTGTCTTTTTTAAAATCCCTAACTTTTAAGTACCCTTAGGCCACTTTCAACACAACTTTTGAAATAAAGGCCACTATTGCCAAAACTTTACAATCCATGTCTTTCCTCTGGGTCTAATCACTTGCCTATGTCAGCAGGTCAACACTGCTGTTGATTGGAACAGCAGCAGTTGATTATATTGATTGATATGCAGGACAAAAGGTCTTACTATCTTGAAGGTTAAATCGATAGAAAGTGTTGCCAAAAGAGGATATCTGAGAACGAAGGTGAATGAACAGAGGTCATAAGATATTAGAAAGCAATAGAGCTCTCATAAATAAATAAATGATTACTGAAATCAATATTATCTAAAATATCCTATGTGCAGGCGTACACACACGTATATATATATACTTTGTTATAGATATTATAAAAAACTCCAAGGTTCTATCTGGGTTGTATAATAATAGGGCAAACGAGATTGCACAAGACTGCTGCAAATAAGAAAAAATAACAAAAAGGCTATGATGAAAAGAGAAAACATTCATTCAGAAGTATCTGAACACGAGTCAGAAAGGCCAAATATAGTGCTGATAACAGCGGTGTTCATATAAAATACCTGAAAAAGAGTTTTAATAAGAACAGTTTAAACAAAAACCTTATATTCTGAGCCCACAGTGACAATAAAACACCGTAAACGATTGAAGGTGGAGGAAAAGTGTGAGAACGAAGGCGAAGAAGAAAGTCATAGATGGTAATCTCACTCTCGCGTTATTTGCAATCTTACGTCATTCCATGATGGCTGAAGATCCCGGCGGAACATTTTTCAATTTCTCTGTTATTTTTCTGTGTTTCTCTTTACTCCCGCTTGCCATAGAGACATGGCAGGACTCACAGTCCCGTTAGACGTTTACAGATCATTGGTGTTGACATGCCCAAGAAAGGGAACCGAAAACGGCTGAAATTTAAAGCCGGGGACGTTTGTTCAGAATCAGGTAGGAACTTAGCTTGCCTGTTAGCTCTCCCACTGTTAGCTCTACAAATAGCACTGACATTAGCATATTTCCCCAAATGTATGAAGTCTGTTTACACTCTGTTATATGTTTATTGTAATGTTATTAATCAGTCGGTTTCCCTTTATAGTCACTGTTGCTGATTATGCTGATGCTGACCCAGCCGTTGTGAAGTCCGGCAGGGTGAAAAAGGCTGTTGCAAATGCAATTGAAAAAGAAGGTACAAAATAGTCCGCATTTGTTGTTTTTCGACTGGGATGGAGATGCGGATCATAGATGGAAAAACCTTTATGTTTCAGTAAAATTACTCTGCGGCCAGGAAGCATCTCAGGGTGCTGGGGTGGAGGTCCTTTCGTCTGCAGCGGGCGTCGAAGCAGACGCCCTGGACAGCAGTGATGACTTGGACCCTGAGGAAGAAGGGGAAAATGAAACTAAAGTTAGTTGCAAAAAGAAAAGCAAGAGGAGAAAGGGTATGTTTCATGAGAGGAGACACAATGAAATGAACATGGACTGGTCGTGAGGTGATGACCGCAATGATCTGAACTTAATTTTTTTGTGGGTTTATTGGCTGTTTGTCCTCTTAGAAAGCAGTGAGAGCAGTGATGGGGAGGATTATCCAGTGGATATTTGGTTAGTGCTTTCCTCCTATATTCGGCCTGAAGATGTGTGCAAATTTGCATTGATCTGCCGGAATGCTTGGACAGTCACTTGCACTGCAGCTTTCTGGACCAGACTCTACAGAAGGTGAATTATTTTTCATTATAATTTGCAAGAAATTATTTATTTTAATAATTAGACCCTTATCTTGTTTTCTGTTCTCATTTTAATGGCTAAGATGTTAAATAGATACTTGGTAGGAAAGTTTACTTAGTTGTATTTATTTGATTTGATCTAATAAAATGAGTTAATCTTAGTGACTCACATTGGTGAGTCACTAATGAGATTAGGAGGCAGAGATGGCTGAAGTGCTCCAACCAGAGCCTCTTTATGCATCTATTGTCCTCTCAATTTCAAACCTGGAAAAACAATGCAAGATTCCTTTTCAATAGTAAAATCTTATTCACTGGTACTATTGTTTGAGACATAAACTAAAGTTAACTTTTATTTGATTTGTCTTATATACCCCTCCAATCTGTTATCTGTGTTTTCCTAAGACATTACAGGATTGACGTTGAACTGCCATTCCGTCTTCAGCCTGACTCCATAGTTGCGTGGCGCTGTCTTCGGGCGTGCGTAATCCGCTCACTCTTCCATTTGTATGAGCCATTCAGTTTACGGGTGTCAAAAATTCCTGCACTGCCTGAAACCACGCCCACTGCCTTGCTCAGCTGCAAGGTATATTAAGAGTCACTTTCAACCACCATTGTATGATAAACCTTGAAAGCACATATCTTTGCTTGTTTTTGTTGTTTTTCATACAGGAAAAGGAACCGAAGAGACGTTTGCATGCATGTATTCCTCAGCTTGTCTTTGAATGTCTGATTTAAATGGTTGTCATTTATTTTTGCAGTGTGCACTATACTGGGTCAAAAAGGTGTCAGGGACCCGGCCAGAGACACTGTGGGAGTTCAACTTTAAATTCACGAAGCCGGTAACCAGTCTCTTTGTTTATTTTGTTTATTTATTTACACGTTTTCCCTTTCATTAAAGTCGGTTGATCAAATAAGTGAGTGTTCTAACTGATTGTGATGATAATATATTCTGTCTTTTGTCATCTCTATCTCAGCAGGGACACAGTAAGAATGGCTGTGCTAAATCCTTGCACACGCCTAAACCATATGAAGATGTTCACATGAATCCAGACTCTGACTGCTATGTGCTTCAGGTCACCACACTCAACTACATCCTAACCCCTGTGGTGATGGGAATGACACTGTCCCAGGTAAGTAATTAGCTTTGGTGCTGCATAAAATCTTTTAAGATTTCCCTTTACAGCTTATAGCCGATCTGTGTCAATTGTAGTAGATCATTAAAAAAGAAAGTCTATAGGGAAACAAACAGAATATTTATGTTTAAAAAATACAGTCTCCAGCTGTATATAAATTGAATCCTGGGAAGTATTTGACAAGTGCACATATAGGCATTTTTGTTTTTGTCACCATATAAATGACTAACAGTAACAATTAGGTTGAGGTCTCGCAGAATCCCTTTCAAAACTCATGTGCTGGTTTCATGGCTTTTGCACTTTGGATTGTCTTTTACAGGGAATGTGCTTTACTAATAAACTTCCCTTGACTTTTATACACCAAGCAGATGTGTTGCCAGTGTCTGAATAAATAATGTTCTGATATAGGCCCTAGCAGATGTTGTAGCTTTGCCATACAGAAGGCACTTATGTATATAATAAAATGAGGGAAAATGCAAGAATAAAAAAACAATAACAAACCAACCCATACATATCGAGCAGGTTGTGAAAAGTATTTCTTATCTTGATGTAGATATTTTGTTTGACATGCTAAGGTTGCTCTCTGTCCTGATGGAGCCAACATTGATTCTGCTGGATAAAATAAAAAATAAAAGACAACTCAGACTGAAGTTCACAGTTCTGACTGAGTGCTCATACCCTAAATGCTACAGAGACGTACCTTCATTCTTTCTCCAGACGTACTGAATGGATGGCTACTGGATTGGTGTACTGGCTTCTTAAATGGACCACGATGGAATCTGCTATGTAGCAGCAAACATAAGAACTTTTAGATATTGATGAAGTAGCATCTTAATTTTTTTAGGTGCAAATATTACCTTTTACCTTGAAATAATATCAGCTTGATAGAATTCGTTTGAGGGATGTATTTAAGTTTGATACCATCAGATATAACATTAATTAAAACATTTTGGAAGTCCAAATGGTTGTATTCAGGAAATAGAAATTCATCTCTACATGGCCCATAATCTTTTATCCCTTGTACACCTTTCTGACGGCTGCACTATGCCTTACTTAAAGGTAACTTTGCGTTATTAATGATTCAAAGCCTTCCCACTTGCTTGCCAGCTGAAATGCCAGCCGATATAGCTGGTACTATTCCTGAATCAGCTTTAGCTTGGTCCCTTGGAGCTAAGATACTCTCTTTGTTCCAGGTTTATGGAGTAAGTGTGCCTTAATCCCTAGGCTAATGTGAATTGCTCTCACTTTCTGACAGTTCAAAATCAACGTAAGCACGGACATGCGCCACCACCGCGTTCGTCTGATATTCCAGGACTCTCCACTCCAGCGAGGGAAGAGGGCTGATCAAGGCGGGACCCAGGTGGTGTTGGACCCTGTGCACAGTGTGAGGCTCATGGACTGGTGGCATCCACAATACCCATCTTTATCCAACATATGAGAATACCCTCGCCCCAGTACCTCCAACAGCAGACTAAGAACCCCACATTCCCAAAATGGGAAGAATATTAGTGGATTGTCTTTAGTGGCACATAATTTTGCACATTTACGTTTTGATTGTTTTATGCTTTAAAAAAAAAAAAGCTCTGACTGGCCCAAACATGTAATCCAAATATGCTCAAATATACATCTGACTGGCCTAAACATGTAATCCAAATATGCTCAAATATAAATCTGATGTAGGGGAGAGGAATGATGTTGGTGTTTTCAGCTGCTTGTTGCTATTATTTCACACACACACAGCGTTGTTACCTGTTTAAGATAAGTGTGTGTTGCATTCTCCTGTAGAGGTCTTACAGTCAAGGAGGAATGGATTAGCAGGGTGAAAAATTTGTATTGTACTCTCAGTGATTTATTTCTTACTTACTTTTCAAAATTGCCATGTACAACAATCAACATTTGATTTGACTTTTTACGTGTTGCATCAGCAGAGGAATCGTATTCTTTCAAATTAATTTCAGGTCAGTTTATTTTGAGGCATTTGGGATTATGTAAATGTTGGTAACTGCAATGAAGGTGTCAGAAAGATGATTTACCTCATACATCATGCACTGATCTAGGAAGTGTTTCTTTGCTAAAAGCTTAATTATCTTGCTGACTACTTGGGCAGTATTCTTTACAGCCACATGCAAATGGTCAGTCACGGTAAACTTAGAAATGACAAGATTATTTCCAATCAGAAGCTTGATTGTGAGAACACGGGTAGACTGTACTTTGGTGTTTTCTTCTTTCATCTGAAATAGTTTCAATTATATAACCTGATTTGCACATCAGCTGTGGATAAAAAAGTATTTAGATGACACACATGTTTTTAGTAATCAAGTCTAGTTATTAAAAACCACTCCACAGCTGAGGACAGCTAGATGTTTTGGTTAGTTGTAGGTTGTAAAACATGGAAGATCTTTCTTTATCCAATGAGGGTACCAGAAATTTAGCACACATTCTGTCCTGAAATAAAACAAAACTGCCCATTCAAATCTCTATGTTCTTGTCTCTGATATGTATGCGAATCTTACAGTATGTTATTTAAATGTTTTTTAGCTTCTCCAATTACTTATCCAGGACTGACTTATTGCTGCTACATTTAATATGCTTAGTTTTTCGACATATTTCTCAAAACATCTTAAACACAATTTGTGTTTAGATGTGATGGTATTACTGAGCCGAAAAAAACAACTGTAGATCAGTCTTATCAATAATGAGAAAAAGTAAAAGCTATGTAAGGTTTTAACTAATCAAACATTATTTCAGTGTCCAAAAAAGGAGAACAATCATTGACAGTGGCCTCGCAAAACAGCCAACCAGTTATCTCGTGCAGAAAATGTTCAGCACATCACTCGAGTTATTTGACTACAGCAAAACATTAGCAACCCGACCTACAGCTGAATCAAAACCAAGCCATTAAATCGGTTTTGAATTCAATTCCAAAATAATATCGACAGAACTTTTTGTAATTCCCATTGTTGTGTTTGGCAGGACACCATTTATCTTAAAGTACCAAAAGCGTTTTGGGATACAGAAAAACTACACTACCCACAATCCCACCCGAGACTTGCCATTGGTGGTGGCACAGGTGACCGCAGACACTTGAGTTGTGACAACATCTCGACCGTCAAAACGAAAACAAATTAGCGAACGAAGTGCAGTCGGTCGTCGGCGGCGTGTCGGTGTGTGTGCGGAGATGCAGTGAAAGCTAAGACTCTCAAACTCTGCCTTTGCCTTTTGCCGCGGCCCTTCGCTGACAGTTGTTTGCGGGGTTGTTATCACAGCGGTGAGGAGCGCGCGCGCACTTTCCCTCAACCTGACTCGTTCTGTCTGACCTTCAGAGCGGGTAAGTTCTATTTCGCCACCGCCGCAGAAATAAAGCCCAGAAATAAAGCCCCTTCTAAATAAACTCTGCCTCTGGAAACGCGGGGTTGAATTTTTATGGACTATTTTAAGTTTAGCACGCTAAGCTTTGAAGTTGACGCACTTTGAATTTGTCTGACTAAAAGTTAATGATTTAGTTACTAAATCAAAAATGAGTTGGCATGTGCCAGTGAGTGCTTAAATCCTCAGCAAGGCTCACCATTAAAGTCCTCCAGCCTTAAAGGCAGCGAGCATCACGAATACTGCAGCTCTGTTCAAGAAATGGTTTAAATTTCTCCTGAGGGGCTGTGCACCTTGACAGGTCTGTAAAGGGTCAGGCTAAAACTGTTTGTAGAGGGAGAAAAAACAACAAATTAAATAATTTTGACAAGCTTACTTTTAGATTTCATTTCTAAATTATCCCTCGGATAAATCTAGTGCTTGCTGAAACAATAAGTATGAAAAGTAGCTGACTGATCTGTTGTTGGGAGATTGATCACTGGACATCCTTTCTTTAGTGGCCGATCGTAATCCCTTTTACTGTCATCTGCGAGTCTGCAGGGAGCTGCCCCTTTTGCCATTTTTAAGCTGCAGCCAGGCCTGTATCAGTAACAACACCTCAGCCCTGGGGTATGCTGCTATGTATAAGCTGTGACTGTAAACTGTACAGCCTGTAATACTCCGCTGCTTATACAGACACTGCGAGAGGACTTTATGGTACAAACACGGAAATAATGAAGGCACTGGTGGCCATCCACTCCTTTATTGGTTTTGATTTGATTTGTTTATCATTGTCTGTATGTGTGTAGTGGCAAGAACGGTTTCCCAAGCCTGTTTCTTTCCACTAACGCAACATTAGTTCATAATATCAGTGATGAGACGCATACCTGTCTTTTATAGGTCATCTTTAATTTTTTATTTAAATTTGAATTCAGATATGTTATTGGGGTTGTAATTAATCACCTGGGACCTGTTTTGTTGACCCTGTGCGGCACTTTGTGTTTCCCCGGCAATATGTTTGACATTAGACCCTGTTCCCTGACCTCTGACCTTTTCTCCCTGACCTCTGTCACCATACATACCACTATGTATGGAGCACATTCGGGGTTAATGATCAGGGTTTAAATATTTCAGCAAGTTTCCTTGAATGTGACAAGTGCATATCGTAATATGTTTTTTTTTTTTATCAGTGCATTATTGAGCCATCATATTCGGACTACCAACTGCGATGACGGCTCGGGAGCCATAAATAGAAAACCTAGAACTGAGATATCCTGGTAAACCGAGCCTGTGATTATTTATGTTGCATATAGGAAGGGTAGGTTTTACAGCAGCAAAGTAATCCCAGGTGGAGGTTTATGTATAATATATTTTAGTCTATGATCGGTAGTTTAATGATGATATCAATGAATTGGTTGACACTGTGTTAGAAGTCAGGAGCTTAGTTAAGAGTTCTTGTTACTTCTAGTTGGCTTTGAATCACTTTCAGTAAGATGGAGTTTTTCTGGGAAGTTACACAACATTACTTGAGGTCAGACTATTGCGTTGAACTTGGAGACACATGTGATTTATCTACAGAGGTTTCAATATAAAGCACAGTCAGAAATGTGATGTTTCTATCATTAACACACCCACCTACTGGCAATTTTGAGATTTAATACAATTTAAGATGGTCACTCTGACTTGGTCTGAGGTATATATTTATGTTTGAAGGACCCCAGGGTTAATTAAAACTTCTCTTTTTCTGTCTGATCTGGCTCTGATAACAATAATGATGAACATAAATCTATTCTAAACTATCATTGGTATACAATTTAGCTGTAAGTAATTCAGTGCTGGGCAGATGTCAATAAACTGGTTAAATGGTATTATTATCTTGCACTTTCATCATGTGTCTTTAAATGTGGAGACACAATAATTATTAGAATAATTCTTAAGATTACAAAATGTGCATTGAGTCATATATTTCCAAAACCAGATGGAAATGAGTTACTCAGAGTCTCAAACTGTCTGAAAAGCAACAGAAACAAACAATCTACTGAACAAACTCTTTAAAACTGCTCTTTTTTTGATTCAGGTAGGGAGAGAAAGGTACCAAGTGTCTTCTTAAGAATTCACAGTTTCAGGATCCTTGATAGCTTTGGGATATATCCTTCATCTTTGAAGGAAAGCAATATGTTGTCCTCCAGATGATGGGTCTTCCAGATGATGGCTTTGTCATGGAACGGTGTCCTGATTTCATCTGGATAAGACCAGTTCATGTCCTGTCCATGCCACAATGGCTTGACTGTGTAGTAAAAAAAGAAAAGAAAAAAAAGGTTGGATGCAGAGTTGACATGATTTAAAATGGATGCAGTGTGCTTTAGCATCTTGCATCACATTAACTGACATTCATCATGTCAGTTAATCAGTGTTCTAAGAGATTCTACAGGTCAATACAGTCTACTTGGAGCTATTCAGATTATACCTCCTATGCTTACTACAGCACTGTGTCTTTGTGAGGTGTGTGTGGGTGAGTAAGGTTTCCCCCAGAGACTAATCAAAGCTTTGAGGTAACTTTTAGCAGGGTCAGAGGTCATGGCCCACTATGTAATCAGGTGGTGTCTACTGATGGACTCAATATTTTCTTTCCAGCTGTGTAGCTGGAACTTGCTCCGACAACCAACTGCCAAAGATTCAGTTGACTTTACATTAAAAAAGTGCCTTTTTGGTTACGGGTATATTTCTGCATGTAAATGTGAAGTGACCATCACGTCAAAGAGGTACTGCTTCCTTTGTGTTGTGCTTATGGAAAATAGTGTGTGTGTGTGTGTGTGTGTTTGTGTGTGTGTGTGTGGGGGGGGGTCATATTTTCAGCCTCATTGGGCTTTTTTCTGCTTGAAAGTGTTGGTAATGGGATTAATTTTCTTCAGGCAAACAGAGAACGGCAGGTTTACGCACAGAGACACCTGCATACACACTTACGCACACACACACACTAAGACGCACAAGCAAATCTGTTTGGTTCAGTGGATGTACTCCAGTTTGAAAAAGCATCAGGTGTGTAAACACGGCTTCATCTGCTGGCCATATGGGCCGGCGCCCTGCTGCCTTGTGACCAGACCAAGGAAAAGTGTTGGTTCTTTACTGTATTTTCCGAAACAAAACACACATGACAACAGACGGTGCATGTTTTAAACTGAGGCTTGGACTTTTTCGTGAAAAAACAAGCGAATGACATCGTGGCATGTGCTGCATGACAACATGACCCATGATCTATCAGAGGTGAGTGTGGGTGGGACATTTTAGGCCATGTGCTGAATGTGTGACTCCACTTCCTCAACTCATCTCCATTCCACTGTTTCATTTCCTCACTTGACTGACTCACAGTAGTGACAGCCTTGCTCTGTCTCTTCTCTGTAAAAAAAAAAAAAGAGTTTCAGCTGCATCTGTGAAGCGCCCACTGCAGCTTCCCAGCTGTGTGTGCAATTTGTTTATTAGTACGAGCTGCAGGGATCAGTGGAGAATTGTGGATGTGGCCCTGTCACAAGGCCCACAGCAAGTTTTATCCAAAGGTTTTCATCCGTCCACTCTCAACTCGGTAGAAAACTGCATTAAATCTGCCATTTTCATTCAAATGAAAAAGCTCAGAAGATTTAGATGCGTGACACTTAGGATAAGAATATTAATGACAATCTGCACTGTTGAGGAGGGCTGTTGGAGCTGAGCAGCTTTTCATAAACTTAGCACAGAGCAAACTGCTCATGGAGGTCATTAAACAGGTTTTTATCCCCAATAAACACTCTTATTAGAGGTGTGGGAAAAAGAAAATAAAAAAGCACAAAAAAGGAAAACCCCAACGAAAACCACTGAGGTAAAAAAAAGACCCGTCTTAGGTGATGTCAGCAAAAATATCAGTTTCAATTTCGTCCTGATTTCAAGGCCTCACATTATACTACTCTTTTGATTTCACTTGCTAATCAGTTCAAAAGCCTAGGGACTCTATCTTTGATATAATAGCCAAGACCTCTCTTCACATTCTGAGCTACTTTCCTTTTTTTTTCCTGTTTGAGAGCAAATAAACTGGAGAAAGTGTTTTTCAGCAGCATCCGTGGAGCTCAGCTCCCCATTTATCAGTCTTAATGAAAGAAACACATTTTATTGCACTTATTTTCACAGAAAATCACATTTTATGTCCCGTAGTAAGAGGTGCTGGAAGAAGGGCCATTAGTATAGATATACACTCACTCACAACTCTTAGGGATCACATATGCACATATAAGGAACAGATAATGTTGTCCTTCCATGGTCCTAATATAAAATAAATAGATTCTGATTTGACCTTTGCATGAAATATTACTTTGTTTCATTGGTATTATCGTTATTTGAACCAAATCCAAGCCAAAATGTAAAGGCAGAGGCTAAGAAAAGTAATCACATCCTTGTTTTTACTCCAGCACAACCACTGAATACACTGCATTCATTGATCATCAGTAATTGTGAGCAGTTCTATGAAAACAAGAGTTTGCATTTATCTGGTATGGAGCATTCATATGTGTGTAAACAACATGCTGAAGAGGAATGACATCAGCAGGGATCTAAGAGAAGTAATTCTTGATGATAATGCAAGAGAAGAAAACTTTAAAGTAAATAAATAAATAAATGAAGCTATATGAAATGCTGGGTCACTTCTCTCTAAGAGGAACATGCAGCACAGCTTTGCGGAGTCCAAACCACAAGACGTCTAGAGCAGCGTGCTTTGGGCAGACAAGACCAAATTTTGGTTTGGTCATGTTATGTATTAGACCAAACACCTCAGACCAACACTTGAGCACGGTGTACTTTGGGAACTGAGCGAATGCTGGAGAAGAAGAATTGGTCAAATCCATTTTACAAGTCACTGAGTCATGGGGTGACTGCAGGCTGCTTCTGGATTGTGGTATGTGTTGCTGTTAATCTGAGGTTCTGTCAGCGGATGAGGGGCCAAAGGATTTAGGAAAAAATTGATATGATACTTGGACATATGTATGTCATTATAGTTGTGATAGAGGATTTTTTATTGATTAAAAAAAAAAAGTCACATCAACAAATGGCAGAACAAGTATCCTATCAATCCCAATTCTTGTAGAACTCAACACATGATTTTAGTTTTCATATCCCTGCCTTACCTCTTTTTCTTTTATCTTTATCAAACTTCGAGAAGGTCACAGGCTGCTCATTGTCCCACCAAGGATGAAAAAACAGGAGAAAGTGGGCGAGAGAAAAGTGAACAATGAGAATGTGTGAACTGGAGAACAGGAAGGATCAGATTTTAGTGTGTGAGACGGCCTAAAATGAATTAATTTTGCGTGGGTTCCTTATCTCCCAACTCATCTCCAAAATACCATTCATTCCATCATCCTGCACATGGTGACACGCACTTTGGCAGCAAACAAAAGAACAAAATGTTGTACGGCTGGTTTTTTGGTAACCGAACTCTATCACGCAAACTTTCATAGCTTATCTCTGTTGTTTACTCAATAACAGACTGCTGTTTGAAATTAGGCTGCGGAGCACATTAACAGCCAGGAGCAATTTGTAATCTGTTAAAATGGTTGATATGCTGCTAGATATTATTACCAGTAGACATTTATAAATGTATGTATGAATTAGTTAGGATGGAGTGTGAGATTTGGATTACATTGCACATTGAACTTGTACATATCAGTAATAGATCTTCCACCGATGTGCCACTTTTCTGTGGCCTGTGCTCTGATGCAAACCACATTCAGAAAGCAACACTCCAAGTGTAATACTTCTTTTTAAGCTAATGTTATGTGAGTCTTTATAGAATATTTTGGAATGAAACGATAGGCATTTCCGCCAGCAGAGTTACAGGATTGGAGCTGTAGATAGCATCAGACTTCAGACCCTTCAGCACGGCAGAGCCACAAAGATGATCTATATATGTCGTATTTGTTTGCAGCCTCTCAGTGACCATGGTGACCGAAGGGCTAAATGATGGGAAACTTTCCAGAACGACAGGGAGAGGTGCTTCACTGGCGTGTCTGTTTGGAGTAAATGTGCATGAGAGTGGACATGTGTCTGGTCGCCTCGATAAACCTTTGTGAAGGCGGTCTTGAACAGAGATTTCCCCTCCAACTCATGTGCCCTCCGATTGGCCGGACGTTACAGGAACACAACTTAGCCAGCCAATAAGCTGTCGGCCTTCAGGGGTCCAGCCCCTGGACCAAAATAACCCAGAAAGTACGTTGTGGGTACTATGAGAACTGGAGCTATCCCATTGCTGAATTCTTTGTGTACAAACAAGGCATTCTTGTTAGTGTGGTGCTGCTGAAGCAAGTTGGCCTCTGTTGTCCTCTGCTCTGATAGGGACGCCTGGCCTATTAGTTTTTGTGTCTTTGTTCCTTCATTCAGGGTGGTGAGAGTGTAAACAGATATTACAAATAGCATGGTTGGATACAGTGATGGAATGAGAGATTCATAGATGCAGAAAGTCTATCTGTCATACATTTGGACATGCTGCATTTTACACGCGGCGTTGCTTATTTATAGTATGATTATGTGGCCATTTGATAACCTAACCTGATCCCTGTGTTCTGGTGTACCCTCAGTTTGTTGTTTTCTTTGCTGGGGCAAATGTCCGCATGAACATCCGATGTGGATCCTCTGTACTGGCTTCAAAAGGCTAAGAAATGCTTAGAAATAATAACAGAAACACAACCATGTAATGCTGAACAACCAGCCTGCATTCATCAATCCAGTTTTCTTATTTAATTATTGATGTGCTAACAGATAAGTAAGGTTTCTCTTTATTGGTTCCCATGTGAAATTAATGCCAGCCTCTTTTTTATGGACCACCTCAAATATTCTGAAAGGACCTTTGTTTCTAAATGAAAGAACTGGATTTTTGACGATGATTTCCTATGCAGCCTGAGGAGTGAGTCACACGTTTGTTTAGACAAGGCTCAGATAACTGTTAATCTCTTGTTTTTAACCTGTTTGTTTGTTTAAATTGTGTCATGTGTGGGTTTACTAATGCTCCCCATACCCTTCAGGAATAACGCATTCTAATAGAATTCCATTCAAAGTTTTGCCTGCATCTGAACTGTGATTTAAATGTGCATTCCTGTGCATTTCTACACTACAATGTGTGGGTTTATATGAAATGAGTAAAAATGCTGATTCATTCATTCATGGCAGGCAATGACACATGCACAGTGACCGGTTAACATAATAAGGAACTACTTCTAGGTTCGCGTGTGCTTCTGTACGCACACGTGTAGGTGTCACTCTATGCAATAGAGGGGCCGGCTGTAAGGAGGAGTTCAACACTACGGAGCGTGAGAGGAGAAGAAAAAAAATGTTGGTGACTTCACTGGACACAGGGCTCTTCTTGTTGTCGCCCCAGGCTACGGCATTCAGGCTAATTTAGGGGAAGAGGAGGAGAGTGGCAGAAAGAGGAGGACGGGTAGGAAGCTTAGCCCGCAGTTGGATCGACAAGGAGGAAGGTGACTAATGGTGACAGACGCCTACTGCCTAATGTGATTTGGCCCATTTAAAGAAGAGTGGTGTCACAGTCTGTGTTCACAATTCGGGCAAGCCGGTAAACCTGAGTCTATCGGATTGTGTCCGTATTTGGCACGTGGAAGGGCAGATTTCCCCGGTATACACCATGTTGTCTTTGGGATAGCAGGAGAGTTGCAGGTAAGAGTCCTAAGTTGGTACATACTGTCTTATAAATGTGACTGTCTGTGCTCCTCATTGAGTGGCAGTCCAGTCTTTATTCCATTGATTCTCATGTCAGAAAAGGATCCAACAGTGAACGAGTCCAATGCGAAGAGTTTTTGTCTTCAAACTTGGAAATACACAGAAGTGACCCATAAGGTCACAGAAGCAGAAATCAACTGTGATACGTTTCCCTAACCTTTTTCAAAAACAGCAACAGAATCCTGAGAGATTGCTCCATTGTTATCAGAGGCATGAGATCAGAGTGGTCTCTGTATTTTGCTCATGAGGCTAAACACTTAAACCTAGGTATAAAAATTGGAGAAACTGGGTAGGTTGGCAGTACACCTGCGGCCCTCTAGATATCCCAGGACTTGACAGTGAAAAACCTGTCTGACACGTTTGGTGGATGTCTGATATGCTGTATAAGACTCGCTTGTGCCCCACGCCGTGTTGTAAGTGTGCAACCAGTTTGGCTAGAGCAGTGTTCTTGCCGTCATGCCTAGAAATAATGGTAAAAACCTCTGTTTTTCTCTCTGGGCTGCCTGCAGAGGAAATTGCTTCACAACTCAGAAAACTAGGAATTGTGAAAACTCTCAGAGGGAAAGGGGAAATGATGATTTGTGGTCATTTACTGCTGACTCTGGTCTCATTTCGTTCTTGTCATGGCATTGTTCTTTGAATAGATAATACTGGGAGAGCCTTAAAGCCGATAACCTGCTGTTGTCTTCACATTACTGGTATCATGTTGCATCTCTATGAGTTGTGAAGTAGCTCTGGAAAGAAGCGTATCACTTCATCAACCATTGCGGCTAGCGTGATTCACAAACAATGCAGATGAGTGATAGTGATTCATTTGAATGACCTTCCTAAAGTTTGTTACAAAGCAAGAACGCTGCATGACAGTAAATTGGCACATGTTGCTCACTTTCTGTTTGCATAATGAAAAGATTCTGACCATCTTAAGTTTCCATGGTTGTAAATCCCCTGACCAGCTTCCATGAGCTGCCATGCATCCGTTTGTCCCCCCTGTCATGCAGATATAGATCAGAGTGTTTTAAATGTGTGTACACGTTTCTATTTTTGTACTCCAGAAACATTCAAAGTGAACATGCTTGCACTTTAACTCATTTGAAACATGTGGTTGTTAAAACTTCTAGAAACCAGACAGACAGAATCATGTTGCAGCCTGTAATAGCAAACTAGGCACCATGAATACCAAGACTTTGTTTTCTGGTAAAGATGCAGCAGAATGTCAGAATGATTAAGGTTTAACACACTTCTTCTTACCACTTCTTACCACACGTGTTCATACTCAGGTTTGTTACCATGGTCTGCTGCTCCTTCTGCTTCCGCTTTGGAAATTCTATGTTTTTTGCGTACAGCTAAATGTACTGTATGTTGCGCACCTGCTGCTTCCCCTATTCAATGCTTCACTGCTCTCCCTGCTGCTTTATTCATGACGCCAGCATCATTTATTCCATTTTGAAGCCCCTGTCTTAATCTGCCCATTTATTTAAAACAACATTTTATATAACCAAATATAATTTCTGTCTCTTTCTCTGTCTGTTTCTTGTCTTACATCAACACTCCACTTCTTCTTCTGCCCATAGGCTCTTCACCAACCAGACATGTAGTGACCAGAGAAAGAGTTTAATCATCTTTGTGAGCTCTCTTTTCCTCTCATACAGGTAATGCTAATGTTTTTGTGTGTATAAATGGAAATACCATATGTATGTCATGACTTTATGTACTGCAATGTGCTAAAAAGTTCCTCTAGATGTGAGGTGGTAACAGGAAATGTTTTTTATTTAAAGTAGCGAATGACTTGTCGAAAGGGTGAAAATGATCTGACTTAGCCTGTCTGTCTGTCTGTCTGTCTGTCTGTCTGTCTGTCTGTCTGTCTG